ATGAAGGTGAATGAACCCACATGAAGGTGAATGAACCCACATGAAGGTGAATGAGCCCACATGAAGATGAATGAACGTGGATGAAGGTGAATGAACCCACATGAAGATGAATGAACATGGATGAAGCTGAACGAGCCCACATGAAGATGAATGAACGTGGATGAAGGTGAACGAACCCACATAAAGGTGAATGAGCCCACATGAAGATGAATGGACGTTAATTTGATGAGAAGGTGAATGAACCCACATGAAGATGAATGAACATGGATGAAGATGAATGAAACAAAATGAAGGGGAATGAACCCACATGAACGAAGGTGAATGAGCCCACATGAAGATGAATGGAAGTGGATGAAGGTGAATCAACCCACATGAAGGTGAATGAGGGCCATGAACCCAGATGAAGGTGAATGAAACAAAATGAAGGGGAATGAACCCAGATAACGGTGGATGAAGGCTAATGAATGATTATCGTTATGCAGGGTCTGGATTTAAAATTATGGCAAAGATATACAAGAAATATTGACAATATTAGCTCATAATAAACTGAAATCTATTTCTTTAAAAATATAGTTCGATTTATATTCTCAAGTTCGATTTTCAAAGGAACCAAGAATGAAGTTTATAACTGCCTTGGATAACAGATTACAAGTTTTTCTCACTCACCTTCAGTTGAACTTCGGTTGGGTGTGAACACCGCGTCCGCCATCTTCTCTGAGAAAATGCGTTTCCTCTTCTAAACCATAGCAACAGCATCTTCTCATCTTCACGTCCATTATTAATTTGCATGGTTTTGTACAATGTCGTTTTATGTCTATGAGAAAAAAGCATACTTCTAGACGAAAGATTTGAACCACCAACATTGCAAGAAGTTGCACATGTGCTCGCTTAACGGAATCGTAAGAAATGTACGCAGACTCAGTAAAGTACTGTTCATTAACAGTGCTTGTCTTTTTTCACGCCTCGGTGATAAATGCCATCACTTTTAGCAGCGTGTGTTTCTAAGAACAAGGGTGGATCCAGGGAGGGACAAAAGGGTGCCGTAGCCTCCCTACCCGTAGCCATACATTGTTTTATTTGATCAAAGTAATGGATTTGATTAAAATGAGCCGTTACTTTAAGTCAAGCAAAATTCGTTTAACCCCTCCTAATGAAATGGGATCTAAAAGCTAGAAATAATGAGTTTACACACAAGAAACAGGGAACCCATCATTATACTATCGAAATAAAAACTAAAGATTTAGTTTAAGTGAGGAATGTATATTCACACTATCAATCCGTATCTTTTTTCGAAAAAGATTTGTAGTAATATAACACGTTTGAACAGTAGTACCATAATGGATAGGTGCCGGCCTAAGAAGTGCGCAACGATTCTAACCTACATACATATGGTTTAAAAAATCTTTTTCAGCGAATGTCCTCATGCTATATCGAATTAAATAAAAACTAAAGATTTAGTTTAAGTAAGGAACATTTTTCTCTCTAACAGTCCATATCTTTTTCCACCAAAGATTTTTAGTATTTCGACGCGTTTAAAACTATGTACTAGGATGGATATCTACTGGGCCTAAGAATAAGCGCAACGATATTTTAAACTATTGAAGAGCTGATTGAAGAGATAGAAAACGAGCGCGTGTGCTATGTTGAGGTGTACAAGCACTTGGGAAATTGCGTGAGTCCGAGAGAATTGCTAGGAGAAGCACGAGCCGTAGCCGTATCATATACTAATAATATACCCTGTGCATCTAACACATTTGGTGTGCGCAGTGTATCTAATACACGTAGAGTGCACGGTTATTGAATACTCACTGTACCCTGCGCATCTAACATATCAAATACATTGTGCATCATATACTAACAATATACCCTGCGCATCCAACACGCCTGGTGTGCGCAGCGTATCTAAAACACGTAGAGTGCACGGTTATTTAATACTCACTGTACCCTGCGCATCTAACATCAAATACACTGTGCATCATATACTAACAATATACCCTGCGCATCCAACACACCTGGTGCGTGCAGTGCATCTAATACACGTAGAGTGCACGATTATTTAATACTCACTGTACCCTACGCATCTAATATATCAAACACACTGTGCATCATATACTAACAATATACCCTGTACATCTAACACACCTGGCGTGCGCAGTGTATCTAATACATGTAGAGTGCACGGTTATTTAATACTCACTGTACCCTGCGCATCTAACATATCACACCTGGTGTGCACTCAAAAACAAGCAAGAGAAACACTACAGACATGCGCGCGCGTTTCGTTTCATATATTTTTTGTGTAGTGCTTTTTCTGACACCATGGATAAACGTTTGCGCATGCGTGCACTTCAGCACGTTTTCTAAGAATTTTGGAATAGTTTGAGTGAGAAAATAAATGTTTGTTTTCTCCAAGTATACAAAAACGTTCGAGAGTATACTTTTGTAAGACCACGATACTGTATTAACAAACACAATATGAAAGAATTAGTCCTAAGTTTCAAGCATGGACACTATGGACACACTACGCAATTTGTGAAGTCCAATTTATAAGGCATGTTTAAAAGTCAAATTTACTTACGGATTCAGAGAATACGCAGACGTTTTTCACTCATGTCGCTTTTTCGACTGTCAACTTTTCTTAGCCTTTATTTCTTAGTGCGCATGCTCGTTTATTTCGTCGAGCATGCGCAGTAAGAAATAAAGGCTCTGGGTACGAGATTGGAAATGACGCAAATGACGCAGCGCTGTCAAACACATATTACCCACCCCTCCCCTATTGAATAAAATGTTTACATGGTGTCGAGTTCCTAGTGTTTAGTTGTCATATTTCTCTAAATGTAAAGACCTGTTGTGGTCAGTTGTATTGTTTTCTATTTATTTACATTTGGTAATTTTGTGTTCCCTCTAATCATGAGGGATTTTGAAAGCAGTGATTCGTTTGACTATCTGTTTAAAATTGTCCTAATCGGCGATCCAGGTGTTGGGAAAACATGTCTGGTCCAACGTTTCGACAGAGGAACATACCTTGAACGACATGGAAGCACCATAGGGGTCGATTTTACGATGAAAACTATAACGATTGACGAGAAAAAGATTAAGGTGAGGTAGCTAGCTAAATTAATGAGAAAATAATTAGAAACGCCATATAATCGATGTGTGTATAGTCTCGATAATATGAAACGAAGGTCGTAAGGATTAGGAGAGTCTCTGTACGAGCCTGTAGCATCCTTGCGTACATGAACGACATTTTTATTTATTCAGTTGTAATATAACTATAAACAAATTTTCTGACGCTAAAAATCCATCCATATCTTGTTTTAAAGATTGTAGTTTGCTTTATTTTTTCCTCGCTATAATATTTATATGCTTCATAAATAAGCTTAAATGTCGGTGCTACTATTGTATATTTCTCTATTTCCGGCATTGCTCTATTGTATTTGCAAAATTTCAGCTGAAAGCATCGAAATATGATTTACATGTAAGGCTCTCAGCCAGTTTTCACATTTTCACCACTTCTTTTGTTTTCTAGTATCCTTTGTTTTGGGCAACGTGGATGTCTTATTTAGTATTAATGTCACTTCTTCACAAGTGGAGGGGGGTAAATTTAAGTGTGTATATGACCAAAACACTCAATGGTTTGAAATCTTTGAGAGAAATGTGGACTACCCATTGGAAGAGGAAAATATGATTATATCTATGCATTATTTAAAAGGTGGGGATTAACTTTCAAAACATGCTGCATTAAAAAGCTAAGATAATATTTACATAAACCAGTTCCTGTTAATTACTTTACCTTGAAACCATCATAGGAGAGGTTATTATTAGTAACATTAAGTCATCCTTTGTCACCCAAAAATCGTAGCTTGCCCAGAAAATATCCATGCCTTGATATATGAATGAGTCCTTCATTATAGATCACTGAAGTACGCTATTTCTTTGTGGCTTCTTTATCTACATGTCTGCAAGGAGAGTTACATTCTTTCTTGATTAATTTTTGAATTGATTAATGTACATATTAAATACATTGTGGGTAGTGTGTATTAATGGCATATACTTAAAATTTATCTTCTCTGATTTCCTCCTCTATGAAAATTAACTTCTAAAATTCATTTTGATCATGGAACGAGGGCCAAAGGTTTGTTTGCCACTAGCTATCAATTGGTTACCCACAGCAAGTAAGAACAAGGGCTGTTAGATCTTCAGTTGATCACAGCTGCCCCAATGAACATACAAGCCAAACATGTACTTACTGTATAAGGCTATCCATCTGTAGACTGATAATGGACTCTTCTCAAAATTCCACCGAGAGGTGTGATTTCTTTTTTATTTTCATTTTAGCCTGATATTCAAGATAATTTTGAGAAGGGTTCAATGCAAAGGCAGCATCTGTTCATTTATAATTTTACAAACTGGGTCTGGGTCTAGCTATATAGCCTGAAATGGTTCCCATTATCCTGGCCAAGCAACAGTGCCCAAGCCAACTATATATCTGGGAGGTTGATTATAGCCAGACTTTCATCAAAAAATATTTTTAATTTATAGAAGTTTTTGAAATATTGTCACACTGTCAATTGGGTGGCATGGGTGGCCTAGTGGTTTAATTACCGCTTGCCTCTCACCACTGTGGTCCGGGTTCGAGCCCTGGCTCAGACAGGATCATTTGTGAGTTGAATTTGTTTATTGTGTTGTTCTCTCCCTTGCCACAAGGGTTTTCTCCGGGATTTCCGGTTTCCTCCCTCCGTAAAAAGCAACATGTGAGTTGAGTGTTGTATGTTGTAAATATGGAATGTAGTGGTAGTGCGTGTGGAGGGAACCTCACAGAAGAGCCCCACATGGGGAGTGGTGGTCGTAAAATATAAGTTTTTATAATTCTCTTTTGTGCATTTTCTCGTAGCTTCAAATATGGGACACAGCAGGACAAGAGAGGTTCAGAACTATTACCCAAAGTTATTATCGCAATGCTAATGGAGTAATAATCACTTATGATATCACTAAGAGAGAGACATTTAAGAATGTTGCAAGGTGGTCAGAAGATGTTAAAAAATATGCACCAAAAAACGTCATGAAAATACTTGTTGGAAACAAAAAGGACTTGCATGTGGAAAGGGATGTGAGCATTGATGAAGCAAGAAAATGTGCAGAGCATTATAATATGATTGATGCTATGGAGGCCTCGGCAAAGGTAATTTTGCAAGATTTTCCTTGCCTGTGGTATCCACTAACAATTATGCTTAGAGTTTGTGTTTCCATAATCCTTAATTCCCTTAGGTATTTCCACATACCTTTGATTCTGAATAAATAGGGGCTTGTAGGGGCTTGAATTTTCCAAGGTCTGAGGGGCACGAGGCTTTGTTTAGGGAGCAGCTTATCACATTACAATCCAACAGCCTAACAATCCAACTGGCCCAACAATAACCCATTAGGCCAACATCCCCAACTACCCAACAGGCCAACATACCCTGGACAAACTATGGCGTTACGACCCAACAGGCCAACGGCTCAATTAACAGCCCAATAACCCAATAATTCAATGGCCCAACTAACAGGCCAACAACACAGTTAACAGCCGAACAACCCAATTAACAGCGCAACAATCCAATTAACAGCCCAACAACCCAATTAACTGCCCAACATTCCAAATAGCCAGACAACCCAGTTAACAGCCCAACAACCCAGTTAACAGCCCAACAACGCAATTAACAGCCCAACAACGCAATTAACAGCCCGACAACCCAATTAACACACCAACAACCCAATTAACAGCCCAGAGGCCAATTAACAGCCCAATAACCCAATGTTCAGCACACCAGCCCAATTATCATGCCAATAGGCCAACAGCCACATTAACGTGCCAATGGGCCAACAGCCCAGTAAACAGCCCAACAACCCAATTAACAGCCCAACAACCCAATTAACAGCCCAGTGGCCAATTAACAGCCCAATAACCCAATTAACAGCCCAACAACCCAATTAACAGCCCAACAACCCAATTAACAGCTCAACAACCCAATTAAAAGTCCAACAGCCCAGAGGTGGAGCATGTTTTATTAAAATTATACACTTTGTGCAGAATTATTAGCACATTCTGCCCTTGTTGGGTCTAACACCAAACCCAATGTGATAAGGGGATCCCTAAATTGAGCCAGGTATAAAGTCCCATGGATAATAAATAGTACCATTTACAGTATGTTGTGGCTAATTCATCAATCATTTTCTTCGTTCAGGACAATATAAAAGTTGAAGAGGCCTTCATTCATTTAGCAACTGAACTAAAGAGAGAGTATGAAAAAGGTTCACAGGTTCAAAATATTGAAGATGGAGGAGTGACAATAGAATCTAGGAAAATAAACAGAAAATGGCAATGTTGCAGCTAACATGAACTAATATTATAAAGATTTACTGGATGTCTGCTAGTGAAAGAAAAAGGAAAGAATTAATATTGCAAAAAGATGTAATTTATATACTCACATAAAGCTTATCTTACAAATATGACTTTCAAAGAGCTTCTTGGTTGAACAAAACAAAAAATAATACATGTACATAGATAAAAAGGTTCGCCTTTTCATTACCATGACAACAGTAAGGGTTCTCAAGGATGCATTACTTTTGGCAATGGCTGAACAGTCTTGTATGCTAATTTCAAGCTTATAATATTCTGGCGAATATAATGGTCTGAAAAAAGGTAACATTTCCATAAATAACATTTCATATTTTTTAAATATATTTTGGCTTTGCGTTAAATGTTCATGAAAAAAATTAAATGGTGCTTGGGATTTGCAAGACTGCTAATAAAGCATAAGTTCAATAATTTACTTGTTTGTGCTAGGTTACATTACAAGCTAGTAGTAAGCTAGCCATAAGCAGCTAGATGATCAGCTTGCCATTCAGCTTTCATAGACCTACTGAACCTGGTTGCAAGAAGACTAAATGAAGATCCACCAGATAAAGGTATCCAGTATCCAGTGTATAGAATTTGTATGGGTTTTACAAGTATTTACCTGATAGGGATTTATCTGGTGGACAACATTATACAGCCTTCGTGCAACGAGTTCTTGGTGTTTTCTCATTTCAGATAATTGTTGACTTCCTTGACCTTTATTTTGTTTAGCTACACCTGACACTTGAAAAAAATAGATTTACATGGATAAATCAAGGGAATAACATGGCCTTAAACCAGAAAGCATTTTGCCCATAAGTAGCATAGGTGTACTGAAAACTTATTAGTATGATTCCATTTAACCTGTGAAACATCAATGAATATTAGTCTTATATACTGTAATATTATTTTACATAGTACATAGAAAACAGAAATTTTATGTCTCTACTTTATTTTCTCTTAGAGTTTTAAGAGTTGACCATTCACAGGTTACCTGAAATCAGTCTATTGTCAAAATATAAATTATTTAATAAAAAGTTATCAATTATTGAAAAGACTAATACTGTATATTTGGTTCATTGGTTTAAAGTTTTGAATCAATTACTTTGTGGATCCTAACTTTGCAATTAACTTTGTGAAGGTTTAATATGTACTTGCATTCATAGCTGTAAACTGTTGAATTTCATGGTTGATATGGTAGTAAGCATTATGCCATGCATTGCTCCATGACATGTCCCTATTCTGGATCAAAGAATCTGCATGCATCGGTGAATGCGCCACTGTGTAACCCTCACCAGCTACAGCTGGTTGATGTTCCATGTTACCTGCACAGTTCATTAAATGCTTAGTACCTGCCAAGTGTTCCTGTGTTTTGCCGTGACTGAATAACCCACTCATTCCAGGCCCTACGTATGTTGCTTGGTTTGTCGTCAACCTAGTATCATCAGGCATATATGTAACCTGTTGCCATGGTGACATTCCAGGGTAATAGTCCATACTGTTCTGTGGGCAACATGCAGCATTATGATTATCTACATATTTGCTGTCCCATTGATATTCAGGTGTAGATGATTGTTCACTGTGCTGTGTAGCAGGTGATTCAATTTCCTGAGAGGCACAATATCTATCACATCCTTTCTTCTCATAAAAAGTTTCATTGCTGTCATGGTTGGTTGAACTTTTGCATCGCAGATCACTAATGTCATTATAGTTATTGTAATTGTTATCATAATCTTCTTCATTGTCATCATCATTGCTATCAGCACTGGTATTGGTATCTTCACCATCTTCGTCACTTTCATCAACATTACCATCTTCATCACTTTCATAATTATCATCATCAGCAGCAGCAGCAGAAGCAGCAGCAACAACATTTTCATCATCACCATTTTCATCACTTTTATCAACATCATAATCATCAGAGACATCATTTTCATTAAGGTCATCATCATCACCACCACTTGGTTGTTGGTCACTTCCAGAGTGTCCTTCCTTGTCAAAAGGTTCAGTATCATTGTAGTTTCTGTCCTTTCTGCTAGTTTTAAACATGACATTTGAGAAATGTGGCTGGTCTTTAGTGTATTCGTCTTTTGTGTATTTGACTTTTGAATTTTGATCTTTTTCATCATTAGCACTATCCTCACTTTCATCATCATCACCATCATTACTACCATCACTATCATCACTAACACTATCATCTTCATTAGTACTGCTAGTATCATCATCATCATCATCATCAATACTACTCTCACTGTTTTCATCCTCATCAGCATCAACTCCGGCAGTACCTTTACACGTACTTGTGCAAGCAATTGTTTCATCATGTTTTCTTGCCATCGTAATCTTGCCATCATCAATCTCATCATACCCATTATAATTGTGGTTATTACTAAAAGCATACGTTTCCTTTACTTTATTGTTATCCTCTCCATTTAAGTTGTCCATAGTAACAGCAGTTGCATTATTACTTTCATCCTTATCTCGCAGACCAATGCTATCAAATGTACTAGCCAGAGCCAAGTATTCCTCAAAGTCCTTCTCAAACTCCTCTAGTGAAGGCAACCCAGCTGATTTGTCTTGCTTTACTGAGAGACCATGCTCTTTCAAACCAGATGTTATAGCTTGTTTATTTGAGCCTTCAACAACTGTGTCTGCTATTTCATTTTTGTAGCCCAAGGGCACAGTTCCATTGCTGTTATGAGATGCTATTTGTGAAGACAAATTCCCATTTGTATGAACAGAATTATCCCTATGATCACAGGGTGCATCCACTTCCACTTTCGTTTGTTTGTGATGATCTTTTGGTTCTCCTAGTCCATTAGAAAAATTTCCCTTTCTATTTGAGATTAGGCTTTTTGCTGACTTTTCTTTATCCCTSGTAGCACTTGTGCTATTGTGCAGTACATTGACTTCCACTCTGTCCTGCTTTACTTGCACTTGGCTGGCACCAGTTAAGGAATCACTTATCATCAGAGTATCTGGTATATGATCTGTTATGGGGAATAAAATAACTTAGTAACAACTTAGTGGCACTCATCTCGAAGGTTACACTTTCTACGTTAAAACAAATTATGAGAAAAAAWATATAAAAAGGGAAATTCTCTTGATCTGAAAATGAAGCCTTTTCTCCTTCTTAAAAAAAAAACAACAAAGCAAAACGAAAAACAAAAAACATTTGTTGGCACAAGGTGATGGTGGTAAAGTATATTATTGCCTACAAAACTGATTGATAAATGGTGGACAAGTAGAGTAGAAATATTCTGTATTTTGTAAAGTTACCTGGTAATGCTTCCAGTCTAATACCAATACTCTTTTCTATTTCCCTGAACTTTTCTTCCTCTTTTCCTTTTGCTACAAATGTAACAGCTACTCCTTTAGTACCTGGCAGAAAGAAAAAACAAACAAACAATGTAGTTTAGTGGTTGATGATGATGATGATGGCAATGGTGTTGGTGGTTATAATTATGATATTGATAGTCATGGTGCAATACAATATACAATATAATAGTTTATAATGCTCTCTAGTACATTTGAGACATGCCATTTTCTAAAATCAATTCTGGTTTACAATTTTGATGATTGCGGTCTTGATGATATTAATGATGGTGATGGTGTTGGTGGTCATAATGATGATGTTGATAATGGCAATGGTAAGTTGTGATGGCGTTGGTGGCCATAATGATAATGTTGATAAAGGTGATGGTGGTCATAATGATGATGAAGATGATGGTGTTGGTGGTCATGGTGATGATGATGATGGTAGTGGTGATACATGGTGATGGTGATGGTGATGGTAGTGGTGTTACATAGTGATGATGATGATGGTAGTGGTGATACATGGTGATGATGAAGATGATGGTGTTGGTGGTCATGGTGATGATGCTAATGATGTTCATGATTGTGATATTATTAATGGTGACAGTGTTGCCTTACCAAATCTCCCTGCTCTCCCAATACGATGAAGGTAAGTTTCTCCATCTCGAGGTACATCCATGTTGATAACCAGATTGACATTTTCTGCATCAATACCTCTAGCAGTCTGAAAAAAAGTATCAAGTATCTGTGTTTATTTTTGTTGATAATTTCTTATTTTTCTTGGGGAAGGAGATGTGGGTGTTTACCCTAGATGCGAGAGAAATTCAAGCCATCACAGAATGGCATAAGAAAAACCCACAAAAAAAACTATTCCCGAAATTTAGAACACCATTTCATAACTTACCAAGTCAGTAGATATTAGAATGCGACATTTAAAAGCCTTCAATTTATCCATAGCTTGAAGTCTCTTTTCCTGTGTCTGGCTTCCTAACATCAAAAACAGAATATATATTAAAAAACAAGTGAGGTTATATTGACTTCCTTTCAGAACAGGCTAGTAAACATCATTGTAATAAATATTTCTTCAGCATAAAGCTTACCAGCAATGAACGTTGCAGGCCAGCCTTTAGCACACAATGTTGATGATAAACTTTGTGCCCTAAAAATAGAGGAAAAAAATGCCTTATCTAATTTCCTTTTTGCCCTTCCCATTTAATCCCATTTAATCCCACCCAACCTAAAATATACAGTATATTATTGGACCGCATATTGGGGCACAGTTTACTTACCTTATCTGGTAGTTGGAGAAGAGAAGACATTGATGAAAATTGACTTTGGACAGCAATTTAAGCAGATGCTCTACCTGAAATATTTGATTTGAAAATCATGATCATTAGATACTGAAAATATGTTGGTTCACTAAAAGAGGGATAGAACAGTACATGAATAAAGAGTAAAAAAAAGGTCAACTTATAAGTTTACATTTACTTCCTGAATATTTGAATCCAATCAGATTTACCACTCCATGATGGACAGAAAGCCTCAGAGCAGGTTTTGCAACCCATTTGATAAGACTACAGATGTAGCTACTGAGAGATTGGATTAGAATTAGAAGTTTATTTTTGTGGAGGGAAAAAAAAAAACTTGAAGCAAAGGAGAGAACCAACAGACAGCTCTACTATGAGCCAGCTACCAACATGACACCAAGCTCGAACCCAGGTTGACTTTGTGAGAGGCAAGTGCTCTGACCACTACAACACCCATGCTTCCCTATTACATGTACCTTCAATTGTTATTAAAGCAGAATGCAGTACAAACAATATATTTATCCCTCTTACCTTTTCTTGGAAAATTTTATGAGGCAGCTGATGAAAAGGTACCACATGGTAAAACTGCTTGATCCCTGAAACAAAGTTTTCACCAAGATTGTCACATGCGGAATTATAAACAAACACAATTAAGACATGTTAAACCTACTGCTTAGAGCTATGAGTAATGGTGATCATGGCTGGTGCTGCTGGTGCTGATGATTTTAATGGTGGGAGTGACGTTGATAGTAGAGAACTTTAGATCCGATGATGAGTACGAGTACAAGTTTGTAACTTTTAAAGAGAGGCACTGTCAGTTCATTCATAGTCCTTGCCGCATTCTTAGATTGAAACTTAAGATTGTAAAAATCAGAAATTGATGATTCAGATCAGTACTTAAGGTCATTAACAGCAGCAGTGGTGATGATTATGATGCTAACTGTTGTAGCTGTGGTAATGAAGTTGAAGATGATGTTGATTGGCCTTGATGATGATGATGTTGTTGATAAAAGTGGTGGATGGGGTCATGATTTTGCTGGTGGTTGTGTTTGTTATAAAGATGATGTTGGTGCTGCCAGTGGTGGTTGCAATAATGATGCTGGTGGTGCTGGTGCTGGTGGTAGCAATGATGAGGCTGGTGGTGGTGGTTGTAATGATGATGCTGGTGGTGATGCTGGTGGTGGATGTAATGATGATGCTGGTGTGGTGGTTGTGGTAATGATGATGATTCTGGTGGGTGGTGGTGGATGTAATGATGAGGATGGTGGTGGTTGTAATGATGATGTTGGTGGTGATGCTGATGGTGGATGTCATGATGAGGATGCTGGTGGTTGTAATGATGATGCTGGTGGTTGTAATGATGATGCTGGTGGTGATGCTGGTGGTAGTTGTAATGGTGATGGTGATGCTGGTAGTGGTGGATGTAATGATGATGCTGGTGGTGATGCTGGTGGTGGTTGTAATGATGATGCTGGTGGTGATGCTGGTGGTGGTTGTAATGGTGATGGTGATGCTGGTAGTGGTGGATGTAATGATGATGCTGCTGGTGATGCTGGTGGTGATGCTGGTGGTGGATGTAATGATGATGCTGGTGGTGATGCAGGAGGTGGTTGTAATGATGATGGTGATGCTGGTGGTGGTGGATGTAATGATGATGCTGCTGGTGATGCTGGTGGTGGATGTAATGATAAGGGTGGTGGTGGTGGATGTAATGATGAGGATGGTTGGTGGTGGTAATGGTAATGGTTATAATGGTAAATAGTGGTGGTGATGCTTGTGGCAGATGTCATGATGAGGGTGGTGGTGATGCTGGTGGTGGATGTAATGAGGATGCTGGTGGTGATTCTGGTGGTGGATGTCATGATGATGCTGGTGGTGATGCTGGTGGTGGATGTNGTGGTGATGCTGGTGGTGGATGTAATGAGGATGCTGGTGGTGATTCTGGTGGTGGATGTCATGATGATGCTGGTGGTGATGCTGGTGGTGGATGTAATGATAAGGGTGGTGGTGGTGGATGTAATGATGAGGATGGTTGGTGGTGGTAATGGTAATGGTTATAATGGTAAATAGTGGTGGTGATGCTTGTGGCAGATGTCATGATGAGGGTGGTGGTGATGCTGGTGGTGGATGTAATGAGGATGCTGGTGGTGATTCTGGTGGTGGATGTCATGATGATGCTGGTGGTGATGCTGGTGGTGGATGT